TATCTTACAAGTCAACATAACACATACAAATAAACAGTTTTTCTAGATGTTTTTGTAGATGTGTCAGCCTGTAAGGCTGACACATCTACGTTGCAGTATCTGTAGGACTAGACACCTGTGACTGGCTTGCACTGATAACCAAAGGTACCAAACATCTTCCATATTTTCAAATGCAGCAGGAGAAATGTGTTTTCTCAGTCCAGCTTCAGTGCCTTGTGCATTATGTGCTTACTGGCTAGTTTGTCACACAAACATTTGTTGATGTCAAAATACTGACAATATTTTGTGCATTTTAATAACATCCATTGTTAGTGCTAATGGATGATGTGAACAGATGCAGAAGTTCAGTTTAAACAAGTTAAAGTACGGGTCATCCTCTGTTGGATCACTGAAAAAAAAGAAAAAAAGAATATATATATCTATATATATAGATATATATATGTATATTTCCAATTAAACTTTAACTTAAATAATTAAATTTAAGGGTCCAATGTGTAACATTAAGGAGGATGGAATATAATATCCATAGGTTTGTTTTCATTAGTGTATAATTAACTGAAAATAAGAATTGTTGCGTTTTCGTTATCTTAGAATGAGCCATTCTTATCTGCAGATATACAGTACTTATATAACACGTTTTATGTATGTATACTGAAATATAGCTTAAGTTAAATACAAATGTAATTATACTTGCCAGCCTTGTTATAATTCGGGAAAATACACTTCCACACAATTAGAAATGTATTCCAGAATTGTGCACTTTTATAAGAATTCTGATGTACAACCTGAGTTATACTGCTATGTTGATATACTTGGCAGTAGTCCACTAAAACTAGATTTGCATAATATTAGTAACTAAAAATTAAAGTTACCTGTCAAATGTCAGTGGCTTATTGGTTTGTGGTTTGCACACAGCATCTTACATGGATTTACTGTGGTGTCTCCATTAGCTAATTGCAATGCAACATACCCAGGTAGCACAAGTTTCATGAATCCTATGTAAGAACAAATATAAGAGGAAAATAAGAAAACATTCTTACATGAGGCTCAATGTTTTATGTTGTATGAAAGCCCTTAAGACTGGTTAGCTTACACATAGCTTTTATCTTACATCTGTGCAATCAAAACATTGGCAGAACATTACTGCCACAAAATAAATACCAACTTCATTTTACAGTGATGCACTGCTGGAGGATATTGGTCTATAATTTTAGCAAAAACAAGCTCTTGTCAAAGGAAAGGGGCAGCAACAGAGGATACAGTAATACAACCTGACCAAATGATTTATTGTACCACACGAGTAATGGTCTGTTCCCACCAATGTTAGGCCATCCTCCTATCTGATGGATGGACACACACTGATCAATCAGGGCTTCTCCAGGTGTAATACAGCCAGGTTTCAATAACAGAGAAGCATAGTGACTGATTTGTTCTTCTGAGAGGGCAACATTGACCCGTCCTATTCATATAGATTCTGTTCATTTTGTTGGCTTGTGTTTATTGTGCTATTGTGGTTAGATCGTTCCACCAATTCTTGTTTAATACGTGTGTGTCAGGTGGTTCAACATAAATGATAAAAGAAGCAGTTTTTCCTGTATGACTCACAATACTTAAGTAGCCTCAGAGGCTAAATGTTTGTATGACCATGACCGTGCTATATATAAAGCACTTAATAATTTGGCTCGCCACAAAATTTCTGGACTGCTCACTGACTACAATCCAATCAGACCTCTTAGGCTGCCGTCATGCAGTGGTTAACTGCACGATATATAAGATATATAAGGATAAGATATGGTAGAGATAAACCCAAGTTATGCTGCATTTACATGGATTCAGGCAGAAGGTAGACGAACAGCACCTTCCTCACAGCACAAGAAAATCATACATAAAACAAAACGAAACATGCATGATGATATGTTGCTATGGTGATGTTGCATTGTTTACACATAATGGAATCAATATATAAAATAAATAAATAAAATGTTCTGTACATTTTTTTAATGTAATTTATTAATTGTTAGTGTCTCGTTGTCCAGATTGTCCATGTTTTCTCCTTGTGTAAGGGAGCTACGTAACATCCAGTTTTAAATATTGTCGTGGAGGACAGCAAAAAGTTACAAAATATTTTAACTTTGGATGGCAATGCCATCTACCGCTACCATTGGATGGTATTCTCTCCTGGCCTCACCTAAGTTTACCATCCTACTCTCATCCTCTAACATGACATCCGGTTTGTCGTCTACTGTGGTCTTAATCTTAAAAGACAAAAACAATACTGAAAATAATACTGTTCACAAACCTCCCAACTTTCATAGAATTTTGATTAATTACTGTGTGTGTGTGTGTGTGTGTGTGTTTCTTGTACGTTGTTCTGTTTGTTGTTATTGCATTTTCTCGTCTCTTATTTATCATGTTTTCATATACACACACTAATTGTAGCTATATGCATTTTAATGTAAAGCACATTGGCTTTACTTTTGATGAAATGTGCCATGAATCTGAACCACAACTGCTTCGTCTTGCTTCGCCTCAATGCCACCATTGCCAGTTGTGATGAATCCAAAATAAACTTAATATGCATGATCACTTTTGTGTCAAACAACCACACAGCACTCAAGAAATGAAGTCAGTGTCTGTCCAAACGACTGAATAGCTTTGTTGTTTGCACTGCTGTAAGGCTTTTTGATATAAACCATGTGGCAATGGCTGTGACAACACTGAATGCTATGACTTCAATGTAAATTCTGATAAATAAAAATATAAAAAGGTCTGAAATATTAGAGCTGCGTTGTGTTTATGTGGGCAGGTGTCTGGAGTTGCCTCCATCTCCTCTTGGGGAAATAAGAAATGGTAACTTTACTGTAGTAAGACACAGCAGTTGTCAGCATTAGGTTTACTTATTTTGATTAACTATGCAATATATTGTAATTGTGAGCAGAAAAAAGGCTCATTGTCTTTCCCAGTATTGAAGACACAGGCAGCCAATGCTGGCGAAATAAATGTCACATTTCAATTAGAATAATCAGGCGCAATCGGATAGAAAGGTTAGCTTGAAATTAACTTAATACAGGATATGACGTGACAGGCCACTAATCAACTGATTTGTGTTTTTCATTCTCTGTTGTTACACACCTGATACAATTTTACACCTGGAATTACAGCTTACAGATGCTGTAAAATGCAACCCTGAGAGAGAAGTGGCCAATCACATGCATGAAGTGGCCATGATTGTCAGAAAAGGTCACGGTCACGGTCACAGGTTGTCATACGTGTTCTGACAAAAGGCCCCCTCAAGTGGGCGGGTCTTTTTTGATCGTTGTCGTCATCCCTGCAGAATTTTGGTTAAGTTTCTGTCTGTACTTATTTGTTCACCTAAATGAACTGAAATAAGAAATAAGGACTGGGCTTGTCAAACAAGGCAAGTGTGAAAACACTAGAAATTTGTTCGTGGTTTCATATGCCAGATACGTTTTCCACTGAACTTAATCTCAAGATGTAAACAACTGACAACAACATATATTATAACGCACATAACACATCGCCATTTAAAAACGGGTTAGGTGACACCACTTCACATAACAAACAATGTAAGTATTGCACAATACCTCCACACATACATGCAGGCGCAGTCACCAATCCACACACAACACAAAGTTTCCATGTTTTAGTTACCACAAAGAGATGTACCACCAGTGACTCATTCACTCAGCACAAACACATGACCATAGCTCATTCAGGCTATGGCTCCCACAAACGCAGATAAATCCACAAAGCCCATTTACTTGTGAAAACAGCCTCAGTTCCCCAACAAGGGGGTTTCTGATTGTTTTTCATCCAAGTCCACCAGGAAAGCACTTAAATCTCTCCTATAGCAGGAGACTAGAGCCAACCGGCAGATTTAAACCATGACAGGAAAAAAATACGTTTGAAGAAGCTTCACGCCACTGCTGCCAAGTTCCTTATTACTGTTAGTGAACAATTGTATGTGTTTTCAGAGCAAGGGGATCAGAGTACCAGCAAGTTAGGATCTTCAGAAAATCATATCACACGTAACACATTCAAAGCCAGCAGGCCTTCTTTTGTTTGGAATGATAATTAAGGGGAACTGCTTTTAAAGGTAGGAAACTACGAAAGGTTTGCCAAAACTGTGCATATTGTCAACGGGATGGTATGCCGAAATAAATATGAAAAAGTAATTATATTTAACCTTAACTATCTCTCCACTATTCGTAGCAGCAATAAAACAATCAACACAAATGACTAAGGCTTTCTACCAACTAACAGTAAAGTTGTGAGTCTACAAAGTCTGCCAGTCTACAAATGTGTGGAAGCTCAGACTTTTAGATTCAAGTTTTTAAAAGTTCCATAATAAAGGGACTTGAGCAGACGCCAGTGCTTCAGCCTCCATTTGCTAAACCACCAAATTACCTCCCACACAACCAACCAAGTACCTACTTTTGGGCCTTCAAGCATCCAAAATATTATTCCATCAAGACACAATCCTGGGCCACTGATACTTGTGTTGGTTACTTTGAATTCCTTAATAGTGTATGGCAGGTAGCCTGCATGCTGTCTTTGTCTTTTCTCTTCTGTTAATCAGTGGTGTTTGTTGAAGGCTGCTTCTTAATTTTAATGTGCGATCATTCTGCTGCCCACAGACACTGCTTCCCTGTGGGCTTGATAACAATTGGTAATGAGATCTTTAGCTTCAGACAGCATGATGCATTCTGGGAGCAGGTGCAAACTGATGGCTCTGCACAGTTCTTGAATTATTTTGGACACGACTTTCTGCACTAATCCTCCAAGCTCACTAATGGTGCAGTTCCCCCCGCCCCCCCAAATAATCCTGACTCAGCCATGTAATGCTAAACAAGTTTGTTTTGTAAACTGCATTGCATTATAACATATTTTAAAAGCTTACACAGACCGTTCAATCCTGTCATTTGAAATACAAACAGGAAGGTATAAATGACAGAAAACAAGAAGTGGCATAACCTTACCTTCCTCTGTACAAAGTCCATGATGTTTTTGAAGTCCAAGTCATCATAGTAGTTCACTATGCCCTTTCGGATGGTCTTGTTCAGTAACTCCAATGTCTGTAAGAGGGAGACAATAAAATTGTGTGTGTGATTGTGTTAATGGGATGGAGGAGGTCATGCTACCATGTTTGATTTGATTCTGTGACACAGCTGATCTACAATCAATGTATCAGACAGGCAGCTCTGGAGAGGAAATGCTCTGATTAGTCAAGGTGACTGATCCACTGAACTGGAATATTAAAATATGACAGTTTAACAGCTCACATCTGTCAGTCACAATCTGGTGCAGCGAGGTCACATTAGGTTAATGTATCAGTTTTAGACTGAATAAATATTTGCAACTTGGAACTCCACTAAGTACATTCAAGGAGAGCTTTACATTCAATGTTTTCCTTGAGGGAACTAATCATTTATCCCACTAATTTCACCTCACTCGACTCTTTGTTTCTGATACATCAGTCTAATTTATACTCCATTAGAGATTGGGGCAACAGAGCATCAGGCTTTTTACCCGATTCAGGCCTGTCGATGCTCCGTCTCCACTCTTTTACCACAGATAATGAATGGAAACTGCTCCCCTCATGAGAGTCACAGAGATTAAAGGGGCTGAGCCTTTCATTTAATTTCTTTTCTTCTTCCCCTGAACATATCAGCTCTTCACAGTGAACCTATAGGGGCAAGGCAGCCACGTTTAACCACATCACAATGAGCAGATTTATAGACATCTGCGGCATATTCCCGTTGAGACAGAAGACACTGGACCATTATTGAAGAACTCACTATAAGCTCACATGGCAATATCATCTTAAACATAGTGTTTATGGAAATGAGACCCTAGAAAGAAAAAAGTGCAAAAAAACGGAAATCTTATTAGAATGAACACATTTCCTCATGCACTGCTATGTCTTTGTAATTTCAAAGTACATGAGACGATAGTAAAATAAAGCTATGACATATTAGAAGTGGGTTCTTCATTGTATTTTAAATAAAACTGCCATTAACACAATGAAATGTATAATCATTGTGATCATTTCGCTTTTCTTTGGACAAACAGACATAACCATAAAAATGTATCACATGATATTATTGAAAAAGTTATTCCACGACAGGCCATTATTATGTTTTAATGTAAGAGTCATGTAAATGAGATGATTGAAGGCATTCAAAAGAGGTGAAAAGACTGATACCCAAGTTTTTCCTGCAGAGTCACATTAAGATATTCATTAATGAAAACTGATGGAATGAGTATCTCAGTAGTAGACCGTCATAATCAAACCAATTTTGCCCCATAACCATAAATCATGGTCAAATGACCACATTAGCAGTAATCCTAATGTCCATTATATGAAAACATCCTCACGTATTAAGATGTGATTCTTCTCTGTGTAAAGTAAGTTTCCAAAATGTTGACTTAAACTACATAAAAACTTTTCATTTCACAAAAATAATATGAGGCACTTTAATGTCTCATGCACCATCAGTTGTAAAATTATCTTTGTGTAAATGAGATGGAGATGTAACCATTTAAAAAACAAAATAAAAGACAAAATACATCCTTTGGTGTAGTTTTCTTATGTTCAATGCATCTACAAATCACAAAGACAAAACAAGAAAATATTAAAGATGAGTTGTTATTGAGTACTAATTCCAGAAGCAGCAGGCACATCTGATAAAAAAAAAGTTTAGCAGCAACCGTGATGAAAGGTTCAACAGCTCTCCTACTAGTTAAGATGCAAACTTCAAGCAGTTTCATGCAGTTATGTGTTTTACAGGATTGTGGGGAGGAAACAATGACCACTTATTTCACTAATATAAAGAATCTACTAAAATAAGTCAGCATATAGACACAGTTAGTAGTTGTCATCTGCTTAATGTTTATAGAAACTGATAAAAAAAAACAGAATTCTGAAAAACAAAACAAAAATTAATTAAGGTTGGTGAGAGTGTCTTCGCTGCATGTACTTTGGGGAAAAATAGTATAAATAATTTTAATATATTTGTTCATATGTTCAATTTCTCTAGTCAACAGTCAAATGTTAAATGACCAGTGATGTAGGTTCACCCAAACTGCATACACTTCTTCTGACTGTGGCTTCCTGATTCCTCCATTACAATATTTAAAACCCTCTGACAAAAAAGAAAAATGTCCATGTTTTGATACTACCAATGGTGACTAAGGTTGCACCTGTAGCTGTTTCACAATAAAAGGCTTCACGTGGTTTCGCCATGAGAGTCTCTAAATAAGAAAAGAAAGAAGCAGCAGAAATTGTTTGGTTTACAGCAGCAGAGGTCATTGTAGTGCAAATAACACAGCAAATGAAAATGTTCAAGTCATGTTGCCTAGTAAGGAATTGCTGGCACACTCCTGGTTACCGCTAGTGACAGACCGATTAATCGATCGGCATCAATAAACAAAAAATGTCTTCAGACACATCTGCAGGCAGCCCTGTCAGTGTGGCTGCTGTGGAACGATGTTAGCACTCCCCCTTTGGTTTTAAGCCTTGTGCTATAACCCTCCTGTTGTAAACATACACCTGAATTACTTATAGAATAGCATTATACATGACTTTTCTTTGTTTTGACACTGGCATTCTATATCGGCCAAAAAAAACGATATTGGTCAACCACTAGTTACCGCACAAATGCCGATAGTGAAATTGCCTAATCAAATGATATCCTCCAGGCTTTCCAGGTCAGGTCTGTTGTCACGTTAAAGTCTTTCCTTCCTTCCCCCCCACAAAGTACTGTTCATGACTGCTACCTGTTTTGGAGGAAGCTGCTCACGACTGCACAAAAACGCTGTATTAGTATGCACAGGAACATTATTGGATTTTATTGAAGGGAGGGAAATGAGACAGACAGACAATAGGAGACACAAAAAACGGATATGAGAGCAGGATTACGAGAGAGATATTAGAATCAAGAAAGATAGAGAAGAAAGATACAGACACACAAAGATGGGTCAGGGAAGCACGTTTATACTGATATAATACAAATAATAATCCGACCAATCTTTGAACAGATTCTGATTATAACGTGCATATCCTGACTAGAAATATGAGCAAATAAGGTGATGAGGTTACTACAACTTGGACGACTCACCTGGTTGCGGAACACCAGCGCCAATATTCCTCCCAGCAGCTCCAGGATCAGACACACAGCCAGGGTGTACATGAACTGTCACCAAACAAAATAGAGAGGAAGAGCCATTATACACTTCAAATTTGACTATTTCTATTCACCGCAGAGCTATACACCAATCGGCCATAACATTATGACCACCTGGGCACGCTGGTGGTCACCACACCACACAGAGGCAACAATCACAATTTGGCCCTTGTCAAAGTCGCTCAAATCCTTATGCTGACCATTTTTCTGTTTCTAACACATTAATGTGAGGATAAAATGTTCACTTGCTGCCTAATATATCCCACCCACTGAGAGGAGCCATGACAACCTGATAATCAGTGTTATTCACTTCACCCGTCAGTGGTCATAATGTTATAGCTGATCGTTGTATCCCTCAACAGGATTGGCTGCATTCATAAAATGTTGCTTTTTTTTCTGTGTCTTTTAGCGCAAAAAGGGAAGCATATGCTCACATGCCCTCAGTAAACTACTGGTTAACATGAAATTATTCTTATTTTAAGTGATGGCAAAAACTATTCTATACCTACACAAACGGTAGAGACAAATTCATAACATGGCACTTATCCTTACCTGTGTCATCTACTGTTTAGACTACAAACCTTATTCAAAATCTGTAGCTCAAACATAAATCTTGTCCCTCATACATATGGCCACTTATATGATATGCATGTGAAGCATCTCATGTGCAGTCAAGTGACTTTCTCAGCGTCTATTTTCAATCACTAATATACAGTTTCATTATAACCGCTTGTTTCTGTCAGTTACTGTTGGTATTAGCAAACAAGCCAACAAGAAATTAACCCATTTAGTATATTCGTGTTTGCAACAGTGAAATGGTCTATGAATGTATCCAACTTTCAAACAAATGATCTATCTTTTCCCATCTAGCAACATGTTTACACCTTGCTTTATAGTGAAGAAACATTTGAAGAACTGGCCATTAATATTGACACATTCATTCTGAGAGTACCATGTTATATTGCAACTACATGTTTATCTTTGGATAGGTTTTTATTGTGTTTTAAAAGGGATTTATTGGTAAACATAGAGGTAAATATGAGCACACTGGTTAATTATTTATGCTCATTTTTAAATAAGAAAATAAACACAGTGAAATTGTGCATTGTTGTGTCATTATAAAAACCACACAATAAATAAAACATTTACTGACACATTCCAAGCAGCAGCCACATTGTTGTTTAAAAAAGATAAGTTACTTGGCTCTCAGCACATTACTCACCACTTTCAGTAGGGTTAAATTGTCCCTTAGTGAAGCCAAGACTCCAATAAATGAAACAATAAACATGACAATTCCCAGGAGGATCAGGATTACAGCAGGGGCCAGAAACACTCCCTCCAGCGTCTTGAAGCGCTGCCTCTCCACCTCTGCATAGATACCAATGGCCAGGATGAAGCCACCTATCAACTGGAAACACAATAAAAAGCAGTTGGGATGAGTTAGACATCAGCTTGAACATGATAGGAAACTGGCAGCTGTATAAATTCATATAATGTCAACAGCTTTAAAAATGATTAAAAGAAAAAAACAGTCAAAGAGGACCAAAGCTCATAATTTCCTCAGTTAGATGGCACTTTCACAACCACCACTCAGCTGGGAAATAACAAACAATTTATGTATGATGGAAGCTTTGGAAGAGAAAAGTGATGGCATCACCAGGTTTCAACAAACGTATATCAAAGTCAACAAAGAAACGGACAATTGTACAAAGGTGATCAGATGGTGTAAACTGGGGTTTGGGATTGATTTTTCATTAAAATTTAAATCCATTATCGAATCAGTTTATAGAATCTGAGGTCCCCTATTCTTTTAGCTATTAGTTTTCTGAATTTTATAAATTACTTAATTTTATGAGCTAAAATAGACTAAAACTCAAGTTATGCTGGACAGATTATATTTAAATGGACACTGTTACTAATGTGGTTCTTAATAACAAAGAGATTTGTTAGACTCTGACCTAAACAAACCCTACTAAAACATCTACTGCAAGGCAGACATTCTTACTTGTATACTGTATATAATATGAGCAACACACCTGTATATATGGCTACGTTCACACTACAAGACTTAGCGCTCAATTCTGATTTATTGCTCAGATCCGAGTTTTTTGTTCGGCTGATCACATTATTTTTTTTAAAGTGGCCTGCATCAGATTCCAGAGTGAACAGGTCACAGTCCTGAAGTGACCCGCATGATGAATGTCTATCTAGAGTGATATAAAAGTCACATGCGGACTGTTCACACTCACATTGAAAATATTTCACCTAATTCTGATTTGAACCACATCTGAAAGTGGCCTGAATCAGAACTGAAAAGATCAGACTCCATGTGATCTGTGCTGTTCAACTGGCAGTTTTATTATTGAAAGTTTGATAAAAAATCAACATATAAATGGTAACACTGAAGAACATGCAGCAAGGTTCTCATTAGGGCTGCACAATTCATTTACATATTATTGAAATTGCAATATGTCTAAGTGAGATATGCAAATAGCAGAAGCTTGATACATTTTTATTATTTTATTATTATGTATTTGTTGATAAAGGTGAAATGTGTGACAAAACAGAAATATATTGAAGTACTGTAGTTCTGAAGAAATGCCCTAAATCTTGTTTGCTGGATTTAACATGTTTATTTGGTACAGAACCCAAAATATTTCACATCATGATTTTAATATTTTTTTCAATGAAAATTAAATTTGTGATGCAAAAATGATCATCCTCATTCCTCAGACTGATCATGAATCATAAGGCAAAATATCTGTTAAAAGCTCACATTCAAACAAATTATCTATTTACACTAGCAAAATGTTGGTCTGTCAGTCCACCACTTTGGTCCAGACTGAAATATCTCAACAACTAGGAGCTGGATTGCCATTACATTTCAGACTGACATCAATAGTTGCCACAGGATGAATCCTACTGACTTTGGTGATCCTTTGACTTTTCCCCTTGCACAACCAGCTGGTTTTACTGGGAAATTTCTCAGCAACTAGATATGAACGTTGATGCACAAATTCATGTTTTCCTCAGGATGAACTATAATAACTTGGTGGTCCCCAGACTTCATCTAGCACAACCATCGGGTCAAAACGTCAATTTGTCCAGTACTTTGGTAAATGACAAAATGCATGCTAAAACCAATGATGTCTGCCTCAGTTGTACTTTGTGTTTAAAGCTAATTAGCTAAGTTTAGCATGCTCACCCACAGAAATTAATTAATTACACCTGCTATTAGAGAGTTTGTATTGTCATTGTGATCATATTAGCACAGTGACTTTAGCATTTAGCTCAGAGAACCGCAGTAAATTGTCATTGGCCTGTCTGTAGGAATGTCTATAGCCTTGAGAGTATAGCCTATTTATTGTCTAATTATGATCTGCATTTTTAGCAGACTGGAGTGGGCTGCAATAACAAATAATTCAGTGTTGTTATTGTAAATGACAGCTTTCTTTAATTAGGTTCTATGAAGCACTTCAGCTTTGGATACAGTGAATCTACTGGGAAAAATCAGTACACACACACACACACACACACACACACGCACACACACACACGCACACACACACACGCACACGCACACAGCCTCACTCCAGCCAACGCTGTCTTGTGGTTTTCTCTCACTCAATTACTCCGACATAATTCGATAATCAATTCAAGTCTGAATTTGGAATTTTTAAGAACTATCAATGCTATGAAGCAGATAATTGTGTAGACTGTGAGACAGCACACACACACACACACACACACACACACACACACACACACACACACACGCACAAACACCTCGTTGTGATTCTTTCTCTTTCTATCAGTCTTAGTTTTATATACAAACAGGACAGGTGTGTATTATAGAATTACAGACGGATGACTGGAGACTCTTGCTGTGAAACCACAGTGTCACAGAGATGAAAGAAATACCTCTATACTTCAGAAACTACCTGAAAGTTTATTTACACCATAAGAGCAGTACGAAACATCAAAATGAAAAAAAAGAAATCTTCAAAAATCACTTTAGCAATATGGCAACCAGTTGAAACTATAGAAACTAGGCTATGTCTTTTATTTTGTGTCCAAATGTCATCAGACTTGTTTTTGCAAAAAATAAAACGACGAAAGAACAACTTAGAAGTTCTGAGAAAAGGTCAACAAACCTCACATTAAAGGGGTTAAGTATAATTATTACTATAAACTAGATATTAAAACTAGAGATATTTCACTGTAATATACAGTTACTGTATAGATGTTAAAGAATTAAAATGATACATATGTGAACAGCTCAAGCACAAGTGATTGAACATTAAGGTCTCCATTTAATAGGGGTAGTGGTCTGATTTAATAATAATGAAGAAAACCTTGACTACAGAGCAGCTACCAAACGCTCCCCGCTAACTGAAGACTCTATCATATCAAGGCTCATTACACAGAAATTAACACTTTTAATTTGACCCTTTCTCAAAAGGTCAATTCAATTCACTCAAATCAGTCAATCGTTTAGGTCCACAATGTGACCTTGCCAACACGAGGTCACCGTTAAGGCAGATATACATGGGTATAGGTTCACTGCACAACCACGGAGGAACTGACTGAAACAGAGAGCTTCGTCAGTCAAAAATATTTGGACTCTCCAGTCCAGTATTTTGTGCCGTCCTTAAACCATCTGCATATCTTCAGCCTCACATTACCATATATCAAAGCTGCATCTACAATCTGCATTAAATTAGCATCTGGAAGGAGGTCATTATGCAATCAGTGACTGTCAGTGCCTACCAGAGACAGAATGAGAGTGAAGAAACACTTAAAGGGTCAGTTCACCCAAATAACAAAGTGAAAAAAATTACATATCCACACTACACCCTAATATTATCCATGCAGCCATGCAGATAGTTTTGGTTGTGTCTGTGATATTTCTGCTGCCAACCCAGAACAACAGAGTGAACAGAATTTAATTTGTGGTGCTCACAGCATTGTAAACAAGGTTAGTCAGGAAAACCCAAACCTATCCGTCAGCAACTTAACATTTGACATTCACTTTTACAAAGAAAAGGAAATATGCATTGTTTAACACAGTTTATACCTTAACTCAGGAATAAAAAAATATTATATAATTTAATAAGGAAAATATGAGAGAAAATATTACGTTGATTTCTGTCTAAAAAATAAAGGAATCTTTTTCAGTTATAATTCTTCTTCAGTCTCATTTTGTTAAAGAGAGAAAATTAATATTTACGTATCATAACTCAAATATAGTAGTTTGCTTCACCATGCATGTTTGAGCGCTGAAATGAAAAGGCACAATGAGTTTGCAATCACCTTTTTCTTCTTCCTGTGAACGTATACTCAATTGTAGCAGAAAATTAATACACATACAACATAACAACAAAGTTAAATGACCAGGTCTGCTCCCACAATGATCTCCAGGCAAATCTAAAATTAAAATCGCCACATGCACGGATTCAATTACAGCCAAATAGCACATGAGCAAATGTTGGCCTGTAATGTGATCAGGCATCTAAAGCAGTGACTGGCCACACACCAATGATGCATTTATAGTAACTTTCATAATCTTTTACCTTTCATGTAAGTCAAGTGAGTCTGCTAATTTCCAATCACACATCTATATATTTACCTGGAAGCTACACACACATCCTGACACTAACACTTTTAAACAGTTAAATACAATTTAGTTGTCTTCACATATTTAGCAGTGTTGGTTATCGCTCCACACCAGCAGCCATTCAGGAAAAAAAATAGTACAATGGTTGAGTCAACCTTTTACATTCTGTCCCATAGTTTCCCTGAAAAGAAGAGGACTTCCAAATAAACACCCCACACACACACACAGCTTAGCTCTGGAGGATGGTTAGATCACAACATGTTTCATCTGCAAACACTTCATTCTTTGACACGTTTGTTGCTAATTGCAGTCTGCCTCCCCATGATCTATATTCAGCCTTCCCAAATTAAGACAGACAACATGTCAGAGGCGAGGAGGAAGGAGAGAAAAGAAGTGTTTTTACATTAGTAGTCATCTGCGAGTTCTGAAGGTCCAAGCACTGTTTATAATCCACCATGATGTCTTTTCCTTACAAGTCCTGGCTTGCTCTCTGTTATGGTATCTTGCTGCTGGCTGCTCACCCGCCCAAAACTCACTCCCATTCAGCCAAGAGAAGAGGAAACCACTCGGAGCAATAAACAGAGAAACTCTAAATATCTCTGTAAAGACGATCATGAGTGATCTTCATCCTTACAAAGTGTCTTGTTGGTTCGTGAATTGTATTTCTTCATGTAAACAAATCTTGACAAAAATACCTGAGATAATATAAAAACACAGGCAGTGATCTGTTTATCAGCATGCACTTAGCTGCTTGTGACTTCGTGACAATATCAGGGCATAAGGCCATGGTTACGTTGTTTTATATAATCTCTTACACTCTGTTCAAACAACTTCACAGTGCTATTAGTGTGCTTGACTGACTGCTGTGGGAGCATACAGTACAGTGCTGAAACTAGGCTACAGGCTGCAGATACAAATACACTTCTACAAGGCCTCACTGCAGGACTATGGCTTTTTTCCATCAGGCTGTTAGTGGTAAACTTGAACTGGTATAATATTAGAAAGTAATCAAAGACAAATTATAAAGTAGGCAGTTAAATATGCATTAAAATGAGGGAAAATATGTCTCATGGGTGGCTTTTAAATGTTACTTTATTTAATTTACTAATGGGTTCTCTAAATTAGAGACGGACACTTATCAATTGCCCGCAAACTAATTTAAAGAGGAATCAACTTTTATTCAAAGATACCTGAGTTTAATTTAAACATGTGTAGTCAGTGTGAAACACTAACAATGAAAGTCAATCTGACAGACAATTAATCTTATAGTTCACTGTTCCCTTTTGTCTTTTGATCACATGTGGTCAGATGCGAGGCTCTGAATTGTGCCTGACCAATTGGAGCTCCTGTTTTTACTTTTAATGTGGCAAAAAAGGTACTTTCATGTAATATTGTGGAAACTAAAGCAGTAGACAAATAACATATGAGATGAAATAGGGAGGAGACCCATTAGTAAATGATTTAACAGATATATTGTTCATTGAACATCAGCACAAAGGAGGGAACAGTATAGAAACATTCCACTTTGTGCAATGGTGCTTGGTCAACACTGGTGTGTGTTTACACAGAAAATAATAGAGGAGATTGTCTTGATAGGAGACTTTAAAGACTTGAAACTACTCTAAATCCAATTAAACCTTATGGTACAAAAAGCAAACATGTTTATTTGATAGACATAACATGGCAGTAAAGGAAGCGGGAATGTAGAGGACTGAATCTGTAATGATTCCCTTAAACAATAACAGTTGTATTGTGCCAAGTTACAGCACAATTACAACTGCTCAGTGGTCAAAAGTCAAAGACCTCTGCTAAACTGGGAAGTCCCAATGTGTGTGTATCAGTGTGAGCCACTGCTAAATGAAGTGGGTCTAGTTAACCTTCACTGGGTAAATAAAGGTTAAATAAAGCAGATAACCTCACACGGAAGACTGAAGTGAAATCAACCCACAGGAACAAGAAGTTCAGAGCTGGCAAGGTTATCTTCAAATGCAAAAAACTTCAGTTGCTTCGACATTAATCCGAACAATTTATGACAGATTACAGATGGTAATCATAACTACTGACAAAACCATTTTATACACTTCCAATCCTGTCAAAATAAAAGCTTTAAATGTGACTGATTACAGCATTTAATAAACTGACTTCCAACTCCAGTTTGCATTAAGTCCCTACATACACTGGCATAACAATTTATCTCAGAATGATTTTCAAAGACCATAAAACATGATCTTTGGAACAGTCATCTTGAAAAATACTTTGTTTACTTTTAGTTTTGGTTTTAGTATTTCTCATTTGTGTTACACCTTTTGTGATACAGTAAATCACTGGAAATAAATCATTGCCCCTGTATGACTGTTGTAAACAATTTTCCACAATGAGCAGGAAATAACTCTTCGCCTGTACATTGTTTGTCCAACATTGGCTATTTCGCTTGGCTGTTTGCGTCTTCAGCAGTTGACAACACCGCACACGGACATCCTGTCCTGTGGGACAATGAATCAGTGTGAAGAACAGGTCATTTTTTTTAAAAAGAAGTAGAGGAATAAATACAAATATTAAAAAAGTAAGACACTAAAAGCCTTTTTTAGGTAGTTGAATAGTTCAGAAAGCAAAGGGTCTGAGGTTGAAAACATAAACAGGAATGTGAGCAACAAAAAAATCCCAATGAATCACTATCAGATAAAAACAAACTGTTGGTGCTGACTTTAATAAAACAGCAACCACTTTAATGCAGTGTGTGCACATTTGTTACCGTCAGCGTTTCCTGGAGGATGTGACAATGTGACCAAACTGCTCTTTATTCTTGACTCTATCACACCGAGATAAACCACATTCTTCACTGACAGTTAGTGAGAATGTCTCTTTAACATGTGTAAATCAACAAGCTGTAGGAGCAGAGTAAATATAACTTGTTAATCTGTTTCACCTCCCCTATCAAGGCAGCATTCATTCACCATAATAAGCCCGTTACTGACTCCTCTCTGCCTCACTCTCTCTCTCTCCATGAATAAACGTTTCATGAATGTCACACAGAAAAAAAAACAGAAAATAATTGATTTTCTTTGTACAGTAAGTGTTTTGTCAATCAGCCATCTGTCTGCACAAATATACAATCTGTCATGTTGTCAGTGAGAGGGAGCAGCTGCAGAGTGTCGCACAAAAATTTAACAAGTCAGTAGGTTGGACAAAGAGTTTAGCCACTTCATAAAATAATAAAATTCAATACAGCCGCTCATTCCAGTGTCTATAGAAAATCATGTAAAAACAATTAGATTTGGAGAAAAGAAGGCTTGCTGCCACTTCATTTGGGAGATATCAAACCGTACAAGTACTGTAGGCTCCTTACTGACAAAACTGTAAGCACTACTTACAGACTCCTACTGGCATTATCTATTAGAGAGCATACCAAATGAGTTCTTTTATGAGTTCATAATCCCTCCAAGCGCCTGCAGTAAGCTATGGTTTACACTATCCAGGAGCAAGTGGGCATGTGCAGTAGATGGCAGTATTTCAAATAAAAAAGTTTATTGCCAGAAATATATTTGAAAACTTTACTGAATATGTCTACACTTAACTTGAGGCTACCATGCAGAAAGACTTGTTGGTACACTTGACTGTCTGCGCCATACAATTACTGCACCAACTCAATGCTGTCATTTCACTGTCTGTCATTTACTGAAAACAGTTGCTGATATGTCACGTGGTGACCCAGTCGTGACTCCTGCTGTGGTGGGACCACAGAAAGACACAAACAGGTTGTGTGCGGGGAAAAAAAGCCTAAAAACATGCAGTTCCTCTTTCCTATTTCCCTGTATGTGCTCTCTTTATGCAGTAGGGACCAGGCAGGTAGGAGTAGGGTAAAGGTGCACAGGGGAGGGTGTGGCCACATTGCACCAAACAGTCGATCAGAATAACATTACTCCACAGGTACAACACCTGCCGCTTCAAAGCTGGAGATCACAAAACTGAACACAGCTGAGGGGATAAAACCTTACATTTCCATATTTGTTTCTCGCCATAACAGGATCAATTCATATTTAATCCACGGAGCTTTAACAGCATACTACACAGCCACCGTTTGTCAAATGGTTGAAACACACTCTTACACACCCTGTCCACCCCCTCAAACCGGGAGATCCGTGCAAACAAGCTCCTCTTCAGCGACCGATAATAAAGACGTTACTCACCCAGAATATGATGGAGTAGGCGAACAGGATGAATTTGAGGAGACAGTAGGAGAACCTGTCACAGTATCGGACTCCATCGTTATTGGACATTGTGTCTGACTGAGGACGGTTGTCTTCGGCGGCTGCCTGCTCTGTTGACAACACACTTCCGGGTTGTCATCGCCACACCTGGAGCGGACGTTGACGTGATGGACGGACGGATTGATAGATGGATGGATAGATGGATGGATGGTGGGCTGAAATAATACACCCGTAAAAATATGATTATTAAGGTTTCTACAATGATTGATGGATTTGGTCAAATATTTTTTTTTTGACCACCGAACCACAAAATTGATCTCAATGCCTCAAACTTCCCCCCTACCTGCACAGAGAAGTATCCACAAATGGGCTTATTGGCTCATTGCACTGCCTCACTTTTTTTCTTTATTTGCCCACCATCAAATACTCCCTGAGATTAGAATATAAACCCAATTTTCAAGAGAGATTTGGCAATGAAGACAAACATAAGACAGCGTTACAATAACATAATAATAATAATAATAACAGCCAGTAGCTAATCACCACACAGCCTAAATCAATACCAATACTCTGTAGACCTGCAGGGTCAGTCAACTGGTGGATTCAGGGATTTGTTTGTCTACAAATTAATAAACCAAGCTTTACAAAGCGCTTTAAAAGTTTGTATTGCATGCAGATAATAAGTGCCAAATAAAAACAAATACCAACTGACTTAAATGCCAATGAGATGCTGACACCTTCATTGTAAAAAAAAGCCTGAGCCTCAGATGGGACATGGCGTGTAATCAGGAACATGAAAGGGGAACACAATTTCAACTTTTTTTAAGGCATGGTGTTTAAAGTTTTCAGCAAATAAGTAGCACACTATGGATTACACAGTAACTCAAAATATGTAACTCTGCCCCCTAGTGGTGAAATACAGCAAAGAGCGACCACACAGAATTGGACAGTTACTGTGATGTGTCAGGGACTGGTTTAGGACTTCTGAAGTTACTAATACTGCTTTTGTTTGGGACCTGCATGTTTGTGCCTTTTTTGAAGCCTCATACACTGACCAGCACACAGAACTTGATTGATTGATCTTCTTTAACAGGTAAATCAATTGATTAAAGATGTCAGAAACATACATGTAAACTAACTTTGTTGTCTACACATCATCATAAGAAAACAGTGTCTTTGAGAAGGTTTTACAGACACATACAGCCTCATACACCAAAATAAACAGGTAGCGTCTTTGGGCATTGCCTTTGGTGTATACACTGCGTGCAGCACCACTGCCTCTGGCTATTATCAGCAGCCATTCAACTGATAAAGCATGTAGAGTCGGAACAGGGAGCTGTCTGAGTGGCTGTTCAGTCAAGTGAATCACAATTTTCATCCAGTTAGTTTGCTTATTCCTTATTTATTACCTCCCCCTTTTCTTATCTTCTTCCACAAGCAGAAGACCATCGGCTGGCAACGTAAAGTAAAGCAAACCGGAACAGCTTCAGGTTTAATCAGACATGTTCTTCATTTGAATTCTGAGACAGTTTAGTCACTTTCACTTTGGCATGAAAATGCTTGTTATTGTTTGTGATTGCACATGTTAGCAGCCAGATGTGTTCAAGAGCAACATTTAACAGAAGACATGAGGCAGTGTAAGTCGATGCAGCCATCTGTTTGGTCCGGGTAGACAGGCTGTGTTTCAACCCTTCCTCATTAGTTTCAGATCCTGGATGATCACCGCTGTTATTTTGTGCCTCTACAGTGCCTCAGGGTCAGATTCAGTTAGGGGACGACACTTGTTAAGTACACTTATACCAGCTTGGGAGAAACATTTCATTCCCCTGTCTATACCCTTCAAAATGCCCTTCATAAGGCCCCGCTGGCCAATAAGGATTTGTGAGCATGTGAAACTTCACACATGCAGACAGAGAAAACAGAGAAAAGACAGACAGAGTTCAGCTGAAGTCAGCAGGCTCTACCTCTATCCGTTCTTTTCTGTGCAGACACATGCGAAAATACACACAGTAGATTTCCCCCGAGAGGGAGGAGAGAACAGAAAGAGCAGGAGGGAGGAATGGTGGACAACAAACAAGTCAAATGAGAACAAAAGCAACAGAAATCACAATGAGAGATATAACAATGATAGAGGCATAGAAGCCATTTCACATGGAAAGAACAAAGCCAGTATCTCATCATAAAGCTCTTTGTTTCACTGATTTCAAAGAGAAACTAAAATAAAATGACTGCAATGATAAAATATCATCAAAGTACTTTTCCATAAATGTAAACATCTAAAAATCTAGTGCACAAATTGAATTCATATTTATACTCTACATGTCTTTCTAAGCAGATGCAGTACATTTGTCACCAGGGAAATGCTAACACATTGACCAAGTGCCCTGTCTTGATGCCCCTATACATACAAATTTTAATACTTTTATTCATGGTCACGTTTTTAAACCGGCAGCACATTAACAATGACTCATACAACCTCTGGGGGGACATTTAAGTGTTTTGTCATGTTTCACATGCCACAGCTCTAACTAAAAGTAGACAGTAGCAGTCACAAATGTGTGATTGCCAATATCTGCAAACACAGGGGTGTACTTTGCAAGTACTTCAGCATTGTTGATCAGCCCCATTTTCAACTCTGCCCCCCTCCCCCCCTCAGTTAATGTCATCTCAACCTGTGGGAAACACTGCAAGCCATCAGAAATATCACGCGATCGAGCACCTATCTCCTTTTTCACCTAGAAACTCAGCTTATGAAATGAGATCCGCATAGAAAATGATGATGAATTTGTATTGATGTTGATTATGAGGTACAAGAACAAGAGAGATTCACGTCAACTCCATCGTCTGGGAGGATTTTGCTTGAAACACAACAATACAGTTAAACTGAAATCTTATAGGAGCAGTAAAAGACAAGTGGCAGCAACCCATCACCAAGAATCACCATGAACACAAAAAAGCAATACAGGAAAACAAATTTGACCTCTTCAGTCATGTCAAAACCCACAATCAAGAGGACAATCTTACTTAAACCCGAGTGACTGCAGATAATGATTGTAGGTTACAGAGGCTACACTGGAGGCACGTATAGGCTGAACACAACCGCAACAAGATCTGAGCCTTTTGAATGGACCCCAAGAGTTTTGGTGTAAAAATATAAAATACCCCCCCCCTCTCATTGTCCGTCTCTCTCTCTCTCTCTCCCTCTGTACACTGGGTTGCGCACAGTCGCGTGTCTGCCTGTCTGTGCGTCTCCGTCACTTTCATCAGCTTGTACCATAATCAGCCAGTTACACATTCCAGGAGAGGGAGAACGAGTGTGTGTTTATGTGTGTGTGTGTGTGTGTGTGTGTGTGTGTGTGTGTGAGAGAGAGAGAGAGAGAGAGAGAGAGAGAGAGAGAGAGAGGGATGTCTGGAGATGTCTTGATGGATTATTGGAAGGGTCTGCTTGTCCATTACGCAGAAGGAGTCTAATTTTCGGACATTATTTGCTATGGACTGCACAACCTGATGTTAAAACTGACAACTCAACCGTCTAATCAGAGAGGTAAGACAAATTAAAGTAATAATCCGACAGAGATTTTGTCTTATTTTTGTAGAGAATATATTTCCCTGGTGTTGTCCAACACATCATTTTCATCACTTGGGCTGTATGACTGTTGCGTTTACTGCAGCCGAAGAAACATAATATTGCTTGTGTCTGCCAAATTCCCGTAATGCAGTTTGGCTTATGAGTGTATTTTGTATATTACCAGTTAATTAAAGCATATTTTCTATCAAATGTGCACTATAAAGTGCAGTTAGCTTTAAGGAAATGGTTTATTAAAACCTAATCTGCTAATGTTAGATTAGGCTATCAGTAGACTGTGGAACTTGCCATAATAGTGATATGGTGTATGATTATTAACTCAGGCGCCAAATGTTCAAACAGTGTAATTTAACACTTGTCTGATTGGCTCAAATCTGAAATGCATAGTTGTTTCAGGGTTTCATTATTTTAAAATAATATAATTAAACATCTGAAAGCCAAAGGGAAAATACATTTTTCTCTGCACAACAGCTTATATGTACTGTATGGCATTTTCCAAACTGGCTTTGGCTATAGCCCATGAGAAGAAAATGAAAAGATGATGAGGTTTTATGACCCACTTTAAATACTTAAAAAAACAAAAATATATATATATATATGTTTGCGATACTCAAAAAAACCCAACAACGCAAGGAATTTTTTAAAAACTATTTCAGTACAACAATCCCTCATTATGGCTAATTACGCATGACGCATAGCGCACACAGTTAGATAAAGTTTCTGTCACCAGGTGAACAGGGAGACGAATATGGACGCTGAGGGTCTCATTCAACACATTGAACGAGACATGGAGGCCACTTCATTTCCGTTATCAGTGACCACCGACTGGCTGGAGGACGGAAACGAGACGACTGGGAATCAGTTCCAGCAGCCCGACTGGCAGGTGGGAGACCAGATCAGAAATAAAACTGGTTGAAGTCAGTTCTTTCTTACTGAGGGAATTACAGAGCTGAAAAGCACATCGAAATGAGACAGAATGAATGAAAGAGTTGATTGAAGAGTTGAATCATGTTCCTGTGACTGATTTGTCTTAAAAACATAGAGTAGCCTATTCAAGTTGTATTTTGAACTTGTATTTGTATTCATTGAATTATTAGTATAAATCATCTTTATGTATGTCGGTGGTGTAAATTTGATAGCCTACATCTCTTCTTTTTGTATGAAATGGCTTTTTGTAAGTCTTGTGGGGAGAACAATATCACATTATAATATACATTTTATATTTAATATATTTTTTGTTACAGTAGCTACACATACAGTCTATCTATTTTTCACAACGTCTCCTCTTCCCATTCCCTCCTCTCCTCTTCCTCCTCCTCTCCTCTCTCAGGTGGCTCTGTGGGCTATAGCCTACTCCCTCATCATCTTGGTGTCCATCACTGGGAATGTCACAGTGATCTGGATTATTCTTGCTCACAGGCGCATGAGGACCGTAACCAACTACTTCATTGTCAACCTGGCCTTCTCTGATGTTTCCATGGCAACCTTCAACACTCTTTTTAACTTTGTCTACGCTCTTCACAATGACTGGTACTTTGGCCTGGGCTACTGCCGATTTC